GAAAATAAAAGAGTTGACGGAGTACCATCCAAGTTCTAAAAGAAATTTTGGTTATATACATAATGCCTTTGGTTGCTAGCATGGTATACTGTCAATTGCTTAATTTTCATTTTATCCATTACCAAGGTACAATAAAAATTTTATCAGGGTTACTCTCCGCTCTCAATTTTAATGCCGTCAGCGCTTCTTGAGTAAACCCTGATCGACGATCGATGGTAGTGTACCACTTAGTCAATGTACGTGGTGCAGGCAAACATGTTCCAAAAGTTTTACGTACATAGCGATAGGCTTTTGGTGAGTAATAGTTAAGTGTTAGGGCAAAGTATTTCTTGTAAACTTGTGAAGCCTGTTTATGCTATTGTTTTTTATGTCAAGGCATTTTTTCATTTCAATTTTCCTTGGCCTAAGTGTTGGCTCGTACTCGCAGTGGGAGTAAGACCAGTTCGGGAAATTTTTTTCTAAGGAATTTTTTTCGAATTGTGACTTTCAAGATAACTTATGGAATTTTGCCGGAACATCCAGCTTTCTTTTTTCGATGTAGACGATATTGTGCAATCACCATGTTATAATTATCGATATATCGAAAATCCGATATTTAAAAAAATATCAACAGTCCTAGTTTGAACTGATCATTGGAAATAATCAATTGAACTGACCGTGTGCGTCGTCCATTAGGCACAACGATGAAACTCGAGCGTCAAGTGCAGATGCTCCCAACTTTTTTTCACGTGGTGAATTGCAGATCCGTGCGGAACTTCTTGTTTATGTTATAAATATATAATTGATGTTCATCAGATTCGTTTCTCGGAAAATTTTTAAATTTGATGTTCGGAAATTGTAGTTTAATAGCATTTTTATTGTTTTGTTTAGTAGGACTTGTAATTTGTTCAATTTAGTACTGGTAGCGCTTCCCCGACGTGGATGAGATATAACAGGTGTGGTTTTACTAGGGCATTATATATTGTGAAACGTAGTTTCTGTGGTGTATATCGAAAATTAATCGGGAGGGAGGCGTGAAGTTACATTAATTTGTTTATTAAATATTTAATATGAACATTCCATGTTAACTTGGTATCCAAATAAAGGCCAAGATATTTATTCTTGCAGGTTTTTTCTTAATGATTTCTTATATTTACGCGAACACTACACATTGATTAAAACTATTTTTACGGATTTTATCGCGTTTATTTTACTATTATTTTTTTAATTCCCGACGTTTCGGGCGCTTTCCAGCACCCATGGTCACGGGGGACTGAGATGACTGACGTCCCGATGTCATTGTTAAACCCGGAGTACCTTCAGCTTTTTTAATTATTGTTTACTTTAATTAAGGTTTTTTCTTGCAATGGTGTATTATTTATTTCGAGAGGTGAGTAATTGGGTATAGGTTTATTTTTTACTTTAAATATTATGTAGCTGGTTTTGGAAATGTTGATAGTTAGTAAATTGTATTGTAACCAACCGCGAAGAATTTCAAGGTCGTGACTTGTCGTGGGCATGAGAGACAAGATCATGAAAAAAACCAAAAAAAAAAACGAAAACCAAAGTAAAGGAGACAAGTGTCATCGGCTTAAAGTGTGATATTGCCATTCAAGCCCAACTCATGCATATTATTAATATAGACTAAGAAGAGCAGAGGACCCAGTATTGCACCTTGTGGAACTCCATAGGATAAGGGTTGTGCGGGACTTTGGGTGCTACTGTCTATTTTTACGATCTGGGATCTATTCTTGAGGCAAGACTCAAAAATGTTTAAGGCTATGCCAGTAATACCAATGACTTCCAGTTTTTTAAGAGCAATTTATGACTTACGGTGTCAAACGCCTTTTTTAAATCAATAAATCCTCCTAGTACGATGTTTTTCTTATTAATGTTATGTTTGATTTTAGTTACGAGATCAATTGTAGCTTTCAGTGTATTACTTTTAAAACGAAATCAGTACTGTCTATCAAAAAAGAAATCAATAGAGTCTAAGTAGTTTTGTAGCCATGTATGTAAGACTCAGGCTTGCCCTTTCAAACTGCTCAATCAATAGTATAATAAAATCAACTAATAAAATAACTCGTAAAATGTTTCAAACTATTTCAAATTTCCCGCGCGCTCCCTTGTTCTACACACGCCATGACCTCGTAGCCTTAGTGATACCGTTGTCATACATATAAAAGGAGTTGAATTGTGTGATTAGTCGTCTTTCTCGCACGCATGGACTTTTTACCGGGCTTTCGAGAAGACGATCGCTCCCTTTCTAACCAATGGCAAAATGTTCTATAATGAAATATAACTATGGTTGTATAAATATCAATTAGTATGGAGTGAAAAGCTAGGCTTTTGGCATGAATAAAGTGACCATTTTTATTTTCTTAAAGCGAGACGCCTTTAAAATTATTATAGTTTTAACACTTTTGACTGCCTTGTTGGTCTAATGGTCGTAAACGCAATTGCTGATCATGTGGTCCCAAGTTCGAAACCCAAGTCGGGCCAAGAATCATTTATTGGGTTTTTCTGTCACAAAATTCACAGTAGCAGCCCGGTATAGGAGTAGGGTAGACCTGTGCTTGCACATACACTTGGGCAAATAATCCTATCCTGCGCAGATGGCTATTCTCCATTAAGAATGGCCGCCGTTACCAAAATTCATTCTGGAGTCCTTTAATAAATTTTAAAAATAAAACACACAAATGTTTGAATCTTTTATTGATCAAAATTGAATTATGAACAGCATTTAAATACTAAATAGAAATAACTTATGTTATTTGACAATTTATTGTAGATTAATTAAAAATTGTCACTACGTAATTTTAAGTTCAAAAGTATAGCTTTTCGGGATAATCACGTAACTAGTCAAACTATGCTGGAAATCCTGGTACGTGCGGTGTCAAAATGATGGCATGGGTGACAGAGTTTGCACGATGCTACGCTTTTGTTTGTCAAAGCGGGACATTTTTACGTATTTTGGGGACAGTGGGACACAAACCTTTGAATCGGGAACGTCCCGCCTAAAGTGAGACGTATGGCTACGTTAGGTATGAAGTTAGTTGAGCGCGGAGTAGTGTGCGCGATGCGTTTGCAAGTTCACTTCACATTCTCTGTGAGTTTAGCTTGAGCGAATGAATACAAAATATTGCGAATTGAAAATTTTTGTGAATTAAGTGTCTGCGCGTGTGAACTATTAGAGAAAATGACGAAACAAGTGCTTTGATGTTGATATAAACCTCAAGTTAATTTGATCGCTTGGGCGCCTTATGAACTTGAGTGGCTGTCGTCACATCAACTGTCCGCTGGGTTGAGCTGTCGTCAAAATCTCCCAAAAACTTCAAATGAATGAAAAACACAAAAAAATATATATATAAAAATGAAGATTCCGAAAGAAATGATAGGCTAAGAAGGGCTAGAACCCAGAGCCGTAAATTCAGATAATAAAAAAACGGTTTTAAGTAAACTATATATACTTATATAATATATACTATTATAATATGAAGTATAAACTTTTATTTATAATATCTCTCTGACTAGTATATCGTTATCTGCATATACAGTAATCTATGGTTATCTGTGATGGGGTATGTTCCGAAATACAACGCAGTGTACTGTCCAATGCAAATGACGTCATGAATCGTCGCTATACTGGTGATTCGTTCCAAAACATTGGACAGTATATGACGTCATACTTTTGCGCCATTTGGAAAAGTGTTGTTTTATCATTTTGTGCTTCAAAAATCATTATATCCCCCTAATGGATATACCATCAATTATTCTATAATTTTTTGTATTTGAATAAATAGAAACAAATTCTGGCATCCTTCATTCGGCAAACACACAATAAAAAATTGTTTTATTATGGCCGGATATCCGACACAATATGGCGGCGGCACGCTAGTACAATAAAGCGTCAAATGATTAGCGGTGGGTAGTAGCGGCTTCTTTGAGTAACGAAACGAATCTATCTATCGAATATCAATAGCGGCTTTTGAAACACTCTATTTTAATAGAGGGTTTGGAAACACTCTATTTTAATAGCGGCTTCAATAGAGTGTTTCACGACGTGTTCAATTGCAAAACGTTGCGACCGTTGTTACCGTTTCGTATAGAATTAGACATGGTGTTAATGGTTAAATTTATTTATTTGTTAAATCAGTTCGCACGGTTTGATAAAAATATCACTTCGAAGTACACTGGCATTACTTCGAGACATTTTTGATAACAATCACATAAAGTTTTAGTATTATTTTTACACTTAGTTATTTACACTAATTACTGTACAATTATTATTATCAACACTAATATATACAATTATATTTAGTTCTTATTTTACTAAAAATATTATTATTGTTGCACAAAAAGGAAACAAACGCGCCTAAAAAAGTAAAAACAAACCGTGTCATTAAACTTAAACAAAAGACTAATGTAAACCGGGCCAAGGCCACTTAAATTATGGTATTTGAACTATTTTTTGTTAAAAACATGTACACTTACTTTCTCATTTCTAATATCGCATCATACGAAGGAAATAGAGTCATAGGTCAAATGCAAAAGCACACGCGCTCACTCGACTTTCGACAACCGGTGGTACTTCTACCACAGCGTAAAAAGTCGGTTTTTTTTTACTCATGTGCTTCTACTTCAACAGCCGAAGCCGTCGCCGACGCGTCGCGAAAATAGCCGAATAAACGTTTTGTTACTGATCGCTCGTTCGTGATTCGTGAAACGTGAATCGTGTTACTGAGTAAAACGTCTACTGTAATAGATAGTTTCGTTGCACTGCAATAACCCGCTACTCGCTATTGTGTGAATAGATAGTTTCAGTAACTAGTTACGTTTCGTAACGACCACTCCTACAAATGATACGTCATTTGCATTGGACAGTACACTGCTTTGTATTTCGGAACATAATATCAAGTATCAACAGAACAGACTAGATAGAGAAACCTGACGTTTGACGATAATATCTTTGAGTTGTACTTATATTTTAATTTTATTTACAATTAATCTCATTTTAAGCAATGGGCAAAGAAGATACATCAACTAAAAAACGGCGAAAATTAAACACTAATTTAACAAGTGACTCTAACAAACTAGCACCCGTTGATGTTTATAAGGTTAGAAAATACATTTATATTTCATTTACGTATTAGCATTCTATTTATCGTAAGGATATGATTATAGACGATGTTATAATACTAATTACAATTTTCATTAAATGTATTAAGTGTACATTTTAAGCGTGTCGTGGAATTTGAAGAAGCTGAAGCTCAATCGCGAAGTGCTGAAAAAGATGCCACTCTTTTTAAAAAGATATGCCAGGATGTTCGACAACTATTTGCTGAAATAGCAGAGCTAAAGGCAAAAGGAACAGATGAGGTACACTGTGTAATTTAATTCTTTTAGGTTCATATTGATTATTCAAAAAAATCATGTAAACTTACTTACACTTTATTGTACTCAAGGTACAAACGGCGGCCCTAATGCCATATGAAATTTTCTACCAGCCAACAGGAAAGTTAGTGAGAGAAGTGTTTACTACAGTGGGCTAGGGTGAAAAACTTAAAATTCTTAAAAATTCATACACTTACAAACACACATATTGATCATAATTATTTAAATATTGGGACTGCCTCATTGATCTTGTGGTTGTAGTAGTGCGACTGCTGATCATGAGGTCCTGGGTTCGAATCCCCGGTCAAGTAAAAAAATCAATTATTGAGTTTTTCTGTCCAGAAATTCTCAGTAGCTGCCCGGAGCCAGGAAGTTGGTGGTGTCTCACCCCCGTGGCTCAGAAAGCACGTAAAGCCGTTGGTCCTGCGCCAGATCTCTCTCCGATCATGTTGGTTTACTATCCCATCGGATTATGAGAGTGAGGGAATAGAGAGCGCACCTGTGCTTGCACATACACTTGGGCACAATAATCCTGTCATGCGCCAATGGCTAGCCTGCATTGATGCAGGCCGCCGTTACTAAAATTCGGTCTGGAGGACATTATTATTAAATATAGTGATATGATAGATTTTATATTATATTATTATTATTATATTTAATATATTTATTAATTTATTTTGAAAATATGTTTATAGTGTAAACTCTATATAACGACATTCAAGGGACTGTGCATATTTTGACATTATAGAGTTGTCAGTAAATGGAAAAAAAAATCTGAATTAGAAACACTTTTTTGCCAATACACAGTGATTTTCTCTTACTTGCCATGTTTACAGTTTGAAAGTCTGTGAGCAACTAAGAATATGATAATGTATAGATCATCCATGACCCCTACTAACAACAGTCTACACGTGCAAGCAATCCGAATTTGTAAACACAATAAAGGATTTCATAGACAGTTTGGTATGTATGATCCCGACAATCGAGTTTATTATGGGCAAGGATAATAAAGCGACAAAAGAACAAATGAACATGCACAGCTGTGCAGTTTTTGCAACTTAAAAAGTACTTTTTATCATTTAATTTTTGTCATTATTAAGAGTGGATGTAATGCTATGTAGAGTTTATCATTGTATAGAAGACAAGCTAAACCAACCAAATCCGAGTGATTTTGCCGCTTTAGGGAGTTTGTCGTTAAATCGAGTGATGTTACATGGAGTTTACACTCTATATGGTGAGAGGGAATTAGCAGTATGAGATGAATATTAATGGCAATCAAATTTAATTAATATAAGTTTTCTTTTAGGCTAAGGAGAAGATACAAGCAAAAAGAATAGAAGCTTCATTGTTGTTAGTTGCTTTAAAAAAATTGAACCGCTTGGAAAAAGTACGTACGAGAGCTGGAAGAGATGCCTTACATAAGGAAAAGCAACGAGTTGATTCCACACACTTGCTGCTGCAGAATTTATTATATGAAGCTGACCATCTAAATAAGGAAGTTACAAAGTGTCTTCAGTTTAAATCTAAAGATGAAGAAATAGAGCTAGTAGCTCTCGAAGATTTCTACAAAGAGGCACCTAAAGAAATATCACGACCAGTGAGTATAACTTCTGAAAAATTGTGTAAAATATATGATTTTTCAGCTGAACTATTAAATTGTGTAGTTTGTACAATTTAATAACATATTTGCATTATAAATGACATCAAAAACTTTGAATATTAATATTCTATGTATGTATGAATAAGTTTTTATGCATTCCTAAGAATGTAACATGTTCATGTATAAAAAGTCAATCTCCAAGAAAATCAATCAATGAGTGTACTAAAGTATACAATGTGATATGTGTGATAAGTGTTTATTGAAAATTGAAGCTGGCTTTAGCCACTGTTGCGCCACTGTGGAAAATTTAATCTCAACTACAGAATGATTGATTTCAAAAAGAATTGTTTTACCTTTTTGGAAATTTTCATTTTAAAACTTTGGAATTAAATCTCTTAATCCGTTTGTTACATTTTTCCCCATTGCTAATTATCTTTTATCTTTCACAGGAAATAACCAAAAATGATGAACATCAGTTACAATTGGCAAGGTTAGAATGGGAGCTCCGACAACGTCGTGAATTGGCTGGGGCATGTAATGAACTTGTGGCTTCTAAAGAGAGAGTTGCTGCTGCAATAGCTGCCGCCAGATCGAGATTAGATGCATTAGCTCCACATCTCCGTGATGTCCTTAAAGCAACAAAACCTATGCAAGAATGTTTGGCTCTTCGCTTAGATGAAAAGCATGATGAAACAAGAGCTGCTTCTCTTCTACCGCCACCTCTATTTTTGTTATATGCTAACGCTAGTGCTTACTCGGATGTATTAGGAGTATCAAATTTAACTGTTGGTAAGCGAATCAAATGAAAAAGTTTTTTCTTGTAATATCAGTTTTATACATGGTAGAGCCATGCTGCAGTTATATTAGTAGTGTAGTTGTAGCACGAATAAGTCAGCTTGACCGGGGAAGGACCACACTCTCACAGGTCAATCAACATATTCAGCTTGGCTATTTCGGGAGGTTAAGACATATTTTTTCGTCAGGTATAGCTCAAAACTTTAAAACAAGATTGTACTACCAAACCAGATCTGAGACGTGATCCTCCACTGCTGGCTGTATGAGGAAGCTCAAGGTTGCTCAGCATGCTATGGAGATGCTATGCTTGGGGTTTTTTTGCGTGTTAGATTTAAAAATGATATCCGCTGTAGGACAAGAGTAACCGACATAGCCCAACGGATAAGTAATCTGAAGTGGCAAACACACCAGTAAGAGCACAAGAGATGCAGGAAGTTAATGGATGTAGGTGGCTCAAGACTGGCTTTGTGGTATTCTTTAGAGGGAGTCTATGTTGTAGATTGTCATGATGAAGTGGAAAATAGCTTTAAAAAAATTTGTGTGGTTTCAGGAATTTCTGGTGATGAAGATGAAGCAAGAAGATTGGAACAACTCAATACTAATAACATGGGAAGTGAATTAGTTATATCTAATGATTCTGATTCTGATCAGGATAACAATGATGAAGATCGTAGAGAAAAGAAGAAACGGCATCACAGAACTGTAAAAATATCAAAAGAAGAAAAAGCTGAGGCTAAAAAGAAACAGGTTCTTCAGCGACACCCATTGAATGTTCAAGTTTCTGTAAAAGTTGATGATGGAACAGCTTTAAACTTAATTTTCTTTTATTTACTAAATCTGAAAATTGTTGTAGTTAAGTTTAGTATGTCACTCCCAAAACCTATCACCGGGGTCTCAGCAGCAGATGTTTTAAACGGAGATTGTATTTTAAATGAATTGTATACTGGGGATACAGGCAATGATTCTCCTCATCCAGCCACTACATATTTATTAAATGCTGCTGGGATAACTGAAAACTTTCACGATTTCATTCCTGAAATTGGCAAGCCATATGTTTGGGCCCAAAGAATGTGTGGTTTGGATTTCATGGCAGTAGTTTTAGATGAACATAAAGTATATAAAACATTCCAGCCATGTCAAAGTTTGAGTGTAGCCTCTGTAGAAAATTTCATTTTTACCTTGAAAAAACGACTGAAAGCACGAGTGGAACTAATGAAAGAACTCCAAGATTTAGAGTGTGGAAAAATATTACCAGTAAAAGATTTACCCATTAGGTTATCAGGGTCACTTACTCAATGGCAATCAGTAGGTTGGCCAGAGTACAGTCAGTCTCCATCTACCGCATTTTTAATATCTGAGGGCTTAGCCAGTGCTGACAATATGTTATACAGAGCTATAGTAACAAGACAATCTGCAAAATTAGTTGCGTTAGTAGCTCTAAGTAGTGATTACCCTAAAAAATCTCCACTATTCTCTCTAACGTTGCACTGGAATGGTACACACCATGCAGGTATTAATGATGATATAAGAGATATTGAACGAATTTTGAACACCAATTGGGATGAAGAAATCTCCGGGATGCACACTCTTTCTGCTAAAATGACAAAGTTGTTAACATGCATAGATATTCTGCTTGAAACAACTGGATCTATTGAATTCCCACCAGATAAAGTTATGTTCAGACCGGTACGAGGGAGAAATAGAATGAAACCATATAAATTTATAAAACAAGGTGCTGGTTTGTTTGTCCAGTATTGATAAACCTTGGTTAAATATTGTATTAAATATTGTATTAAATGATTAATGAGATACCAATGAAACAAAAAAATAAAGTATTGAAAACAAATAATTTGCTTTTAAATTATTTAATCTACTCATGCAACACAGAATAAAAAACACCAATAAATTAACACAAAATGCAAGAAAATTGTATTATCTATATCTGTCAAATCACAACAGCCAGGACAGACATCTCAACACAATCATTGCTTTTGTGACTGTATGGAGGCAATGAGCTCACTGCCTCCGATTTGATTCAAAGATGTTTTATCTCTTTAGTTAATTAGAGATACTGCAAAATAAATGCAACACAAAAAAAAAAAATGTTTTTTTTCATATAAGTGAGGCTGGCAAAAACAAGCAGACAATCCATGTGATAAGGAATGCTGTGGCCCAGAAACACCTAAATCTGTACTCAATTAAGAATAAAAAAGGCAGGGGCGTTTCCTTCCTGGAGATTGATATCAATAAAATTATTTTTGACGAGCATCTTAGTTGTTGAAAATGTTGGTATTTATTTTCCATATCTCATAGATAAATATATTATCCCAAGTCTCTAAGTATACTGAACTTGTATAGATTACTTGAGTGTATGCAGTGACTTGTAATAATTCAAAATCAAAATATGCTTTGTGAGTTAAAATAATTATTTTTATCCATAAAACATATTAAAAGACACTTAATTTCCTTTCATTCTAAACATTATCATAGATATAGATCGTGAAATAATCTGTCCGAAACATGGGTGTAGTATTCTATAAAGATAGAAATACGCGCTAATAATAATAATACTCTGAACTGGTATTTTAGTCACGCAGCAGAAGCGCTCATATAATATTATCACGTTTTTATTAAGGTTTCCGTCTAGTTTTGCTTTTTTACTTTCCCAGCTAATAGAAGGGGGCGCTCTCCCCGTTGCATAAATACGTTCGAGATCACAGGTGAAGGTTGCTCTACTTCATTAAATAACAAATTTTTCCCATAAATATTCCTTTTACTTTTGTCGGGTAGTATAATTTTTTACCTTTTTATATTTCATAAACGTCGTTTTTAGTAATGTTTATACGGGTTGTAGGTTTAAAAATGGTATATACAACCGAAGGAAAACAAAAACTGCCTCTTCGTACAAATTTCGCCTCTACCTTGTATATTTTGTATGAAGAATCAGTAAATTTTTTTCTATTTTCGAATTTTTTTGTATTAAATATGGTTCAGCTCTATGATTCCAGCTCCTCCCTTCATATCGGTTGTATATGATTTTTTTTATACAATTTGTACATACAAATAACGCTTGTACCTGTTTTTTAAAAAAAGAGAAATCGTATAGAGAAGTAATTTAGAAGGCAGTTGATAAAAAAATCAAATAACTGAATGCACATATACTTATTTATTTAGTTTGTTACATCATTAAAGGTAAGGAATTTTTTTTGAGTGGTGGTAATATCGTGTAGGGGTTAACATTTTTTGGGATTTTTTGTTTTTTATTTTCTATTGCTTCTATTATATACGGTGGGTCTTTTATCGGCATAGAACATTCAAAGTGCGAATAAATTAATTCTGTTAGCACACAGCTGTAATAAAACTTTGTCAAACGGGGCAGCATTGTTGTTTCCCAAAACTCTTCACACCTTACTTTAACTCTTGCGTTACATTTATTTTTACTGACACAATGATATTTCTTCTTTTTTCTATCCGTGTTTTCCGTTTTTTTTTTTGGTAATAAATTGAAATTCATCACATATAAAAGTCCAAGTCAATTAATCTAATACACTAATACTAATATCAAATCTGTTGAAATGTAAGGCATATCTTCAGCCTTCGCAGTAAGTGGTCAAGTTGACACAATATATACCCATTTACGTAAGGCTTTTCACAAAGTGAATCATGAATTGCTTTCTCAGAAAGTCAAGTGGTACGGCATCCATAGTAATTTCTTCCGATGGATACAGTCTGATTTAGAGAACCGTAGCCAATTAGTTACTGAAGAATCGACTGCCGTCATTATTAAATCAGGTATTCCACAAGGATCTCATCTGGGCCCTCTATTTTTTCTTGTTTTTATAAACGACCTAATCCCAAAACTAACTTGTCCTTGTCTATTTTACGCAGATGACCTCATAGTGTTCAAGAAAATTAATGACCTTAATGATTGTATTGATTTGCAAAATAATGCTAACACAATTGCTGACTGGTCCAAACAAAATTGTATGCACTGAGATAAAAAATGCTTCGTTATTTCTTTTACCAACAAACGTAAAAAAAAATAATTATATACTTAAAGGTCAAATTCTTAAGCGAAATTCAGTTGCAAAAGACTTAGGTGTTTACTTTGATGAAAAACTTACTTTCAGAAATCAGAACTTCTAAGTCATACAAAACATTAGGTTTTATTACCAGAACAACCAAACATTTCAAAAAACTATCCACATTTATACATCTCTTCTATACTTTGATAAGAAGTACTCTTGAGTATGGTTCTGTTGTATGGTCTCCATTTTACGAAGTGCACTCCAAACGTCTAGAACAGATTCAAAACAAATCTCTTACGATAGTTAGTTATAGGCTGAAAATAAGTCGCAAGCTACCGTCTTATCAGGAGAGACTATTTACATTTCGAGTTTCATCACTGCGTAATAGACGTGCTATACAAGATATTCTTTGCTTACATAAACTTATACACTGCAAAATTGTTGCCCCAAATCTTTTATTCCAAATTAATTTTAGTATTAAATCAAATTCCAGGCGTCGTCTTAAAACTTTATATTAAACGTCTATAAGAACAATACTTCATTTTACAATGCTTTAACACAAATGTGTCGCTCCTATAACGATATAGTTCTGACTGAGTCAGGTAAGGACATTGATGTCTTTGACAATAATGTAAATAAGCTTCGTACTCAACTGTTCCACTACTTAAAGTCAACTCCACTTTAATTATTTGTCGTCGTAATAAAACTTACCTTATCTAAACTGTCGTAAAATTTTTTAAATTTATAAATTGTTTTTTTTTTTTTGAGTAAAATATATACATAAATATGTTTACGGATAATGCATGTTGCAACTGTATGTACGCGTTTTTGCTTTGTATTCCAGGTCAAAACTTTGTATACATTTGTATAATAGGTATTTATATTACGTAAAATTGAATGTAAACTGTTGTGTACATCCAATAAAATAAATAAATAATACTAATATAAATACTAATACACTAAAAACTAGAACTAATATGACAATTAAATAAAAATATATGTTTAAGTAGAGCAACTTTCACGATATGCGCCGCTCAGTCCATAAGGGCTGCGCGGGGGAAAGAGATCAACCGTGCGAGCGAGAGGTAAAGTAACGTTGAGCAACACTGCACACGTCTGAACGCCGAGAAATCCCAGCCATAGATTACTGATACCAGCGGAGGTGAGAGAATTTTCAGGCGTTTCTGGTTAATAAATGGCATATAGGTAAAGTGACCTGAAGGTGAACTTCAGTAACTAATACTGGAACACCTGGACTAGTAGAACTAGGTGTGCCGGGTTTGGGCGCGTTTTGTTAGGTATAATGAGTCCTTACCTCCGGACTTGACGGAGTGACCTGAAGGTGTACTTTGGTAATCGGTATTGGATCTGGTCGCCGAGTACTACTAGGTGTGCCGAGTTTGGGCTCGTTTTGTTAGGTATGATGAGTCCTTACCTCCGGACTTGACGGAGCGACCTGAAGGTGTACATTAGTAATCGCTATTGGAACTGGTCGCCGAGTACTAGTAGGTGTGCCGAGTTTGGGCTCGTTTTGTTAGATATGACGAGTCCTTACCTGCGGACTTGACGGAGGGACCTGAAGGTGTACATTAGTAATCACTATTGGAACTGGTCGCCGAGTACTATTAGGTGTGCCGAGTTTGGGCTCGTTTTGTTAGGTATGAGTTCTTACCTCTGGACTTGACGGAATGACCTGAAGGTGTACTTTGGTAAACGCTATTGAAACTGGTCGCCGAGTACTACTAGGTGTGCCGAATTTGGGCTCGTTTTGTTAGGTATGATGAGTCCTTACCTCCGGACTTGACGGAGTGACCTGAAGGTGTACATTAGACTATTGGAACTGGTCGCCAGGCGGGGCTCGGAGATGAGTTCTTACCTCTGGACTTACGGAATGACCTAAGGTACATTAGTAATCGGTATTGGAACTGGTCGCAGAGTACTACTAGGTGTGCCGAGTTTGAGCTCGTTTTGTTAGGTATAATGAGTCCTAACCTCCGGACTTGACGGAGTGACCTGAAGGTGTACTTTGTAATCGGTATTGGAACTGGTGGCCGAGTACTACTAGGTGTGCCGAGTTTGAGCTCGTTTTGTTAGGTATGACGAGTCCTTATGATGGAGTGACCTGAACCTCTAAAATTTATTTTAATAAGTAAAAACCATAGTAATATACATGCAATCATTCCGTTTTTTGTCTGATTATTATACATTTAACATAGTAACGTTATATTGTTTTAATTTTTTTTTCAATTAATAGATTTTTTTTCTAAATGGCATATTCTTATTTATGAAATAATACGTACGGATGTGTGCATGAATGCCTGTGCCAGGCACTGTTGGCCGCGGCCTGTTGCTCTATAGACGTCTCGCTCTTTTTTGTATTCGCATTTGTATAATTTTATTTTTAAATTCATCGTTTTATAAATATTTTTCTTTAGATAAATATTCTTCTTTCGTGTGAATATAAAATATTTTTAGTTCAAATAGCGTAGTAAGGTATACTTTCATTTGTACATAATGGGAAATAAAGTGAAACCCGTTACGAAAAGTAAAAAACGTTCATATAAATCAAACGCCCAAAATATGAACGATATTAAAAGGTAAGAACATATTATTATTACTAAATATTCATTTTATAGCAATAAACATATGAATTTCAGAAACGTAGTTTATTACAGTAGTGTATTTGATAGAGGTGCCTATGGATTTTCTTTTTGCATTCGAGAGTGCCCG